CTTATTAATCCTTGTGGATACTGACTGGACTTAAGGAACTTTATTTGCCCTTGTTAGTAACCGGAATACACTGTACAAAGTGATGGGTGTGAAAACACATCTGTCAGTATCAGTGAAGCTGAGATAAAGCTTACTCTTCGGGCTGTAACCACTTATGTCCTATGTTGCAATTTGGCTCCAAGCATGTCTGCATTGAAGATGTGCATATTTTCAAACATTGTCGTGAAATGACACTATTTTTGTTGTGGATTGGGACATACTGTATAAGCTGTGTGGTTCAGCAAACAAGTGGAGTAAAGGATTTGTCTTCTCTGGTAAGATATGATGACAGTTCTTTAGCTGCAATAAGGCATGTTCAAAGTATCATACCCGTAGTACGACCACGCCCAAATATACGCTCACACAGCGTCTTGTTTATGAATGCTTTTAGCTTCACAAAGTTTGGTGCTGAAACCGCATCTGCGTCAGTCCCTTTCCTTTAGGTAGTGGCCCATCACCAGAAATTTCGAATCGATATGCGCAGTGACAGGCGACACTTAGAAAATATCAATGCATTTTTCATTACAGAGAAATGACTGAGAAAAGATCCAAAATAGAAACAACAACAACAACAACAACAACAACAACAAACTGTCCTAGAGGCATAAGAGTTCGCCTACATCGCATCAATTCCATTAGTATTTTTGTTAAACTAAGTGAATCTGCATTTTTACATACTTTGCTACTTTTATTCGTTTCGGTAAACAGATTTGCAAATTGACTGTAAGGATTTGTATGGCTGTCGGCGATAAAACGCCGAAACAGAGCCGAGTTAAAGTGTTCCAGTTCGCGTCCAAGTTCGTCGGGTACAACCACTTTGCATCGGTTTTGCGAGTTAAAAATGCTTACTTTGAGGTCCAGTTACATTTTGCACTACCAGATTGAAATTTCTTTTGGTTTTTAACTTTGAAAACGCCGTAAATTTCAGTATGGACTCCACGGCGAAATTTCCTGATACTCTCGTTCGAGAGATAATTTCTTGCATTTTGAACACATTTCAGAATAATTGACATTAGTATTTACCAAATCAGTGAATAGCAATTTTTGCGCGTTTTGATTGGCTCCCATAACTCGGAATATCCTTGGCTATTCACTGTTTTGCGACCGGAACCAAGATAGCGTCTGGTTTCGAGATATTTTCGGTAGACGAAATCTGTGCGATAAATGAAGCCAAACAAATAACAAGAAAGCGACGAACTTAAGCTTGTCGGTGTTCACGGGTAGGTAGAAAATTATTTACATGCTGAATTTGCAACAAAATCAAAAAAAGCACTTGACAGAAACCCCAAATTGTTTGTAAATTGTAAACAAAGTGACGTTTTTAATTTACGAAAAGTTACTTTTTTTCAGTTTTATCCAGTATATGCCTCAACGCTTCGCGCCTCGGTGTATCCATCACCACTATTCACCTCCCCTTCGGAGGATAGTTTTATAGTATTTTCGTTCAGCGGTTCCTTTTTGACTGTAAATACGCTCTTGTTTGTGTAGCCCGTACTCGGCCGGATCTAACAGGGGCTTAGCCCATTAAAGAAGTAAAGAATTTATTAAAGGTGTTTGCCATTGCACACAGCTCATTGATGATGTTATCAATATTTTCCTTTTCCACGAGCAATAGCAAAACCTGGGGAGTGACAAGTGAAAAAATCAAGTCAGAAAATAATAGTCAAATTTTTTCGAAAAGCTTCGAAAATTCCACATGAATGGAACCGGGGGGGGGGAAGCTACTTCCCGTATATTCTATTCAACGAAATCCAAACGATGCTCTCACAACTTGCAAAGCGATTAGCAAGGGTCTCGCCAGCGGATTGTGTTCTGATCATCCGCACTTCTGCAAAAACTATAGATAACGGTTTTGAGAAAGAACACAAACATGGGGCGCTTTCCATTCACCCCCAAATTTTGAAAATTTTTGTTGGTACATCAAATGGAACGTACCATTTCGGTTTGGTCCGACCGGAATATTCGGGACCGGCTTTGAAGGTGGTCAACTTTGACCGGTCTGGTCATTTCGGTCGGTCGGACCGAAATATCTCTTTCCATTTGTCAAAATTGTTGCCCCCAGTACCGCACTTTTTTATCCTGCTTACAAGAACAAGTAGTTTCCAGTGGAAAGTGAAGTGCTGTGAGTAAAGCATGACATCTCAAATAGTTTGAATCAGTTGCAATTTCTTTCGATTTTTGATATTTGCCATTAACAGTGTCAAATAACTGACGCAACACGACACGTAGGTGAAAAAAAGTGTGTGTAATCAAGTTACAATAGCTTACAATTGTATAAAAGTCGGTAAGAATAAATCAGCGTATTATTTGTCTGAAACCTGTCCACGATATTTAACCAAACGAAAGCAATTTATCAATTAGGCTGAAATAAATACAACAAAGCCTGGCTGAATACAAATTTGGCCAAAACACCGAGTTTGTTTACCGTACAGTTCTAGGAATTGCTTCGAATTGTTCGAATCAGTTCTAAGAAACGGATCGCTTCAATTCACGCGAATTTTTTACCTTCACTTGTATGCATACTCTTCGCTTGCAAAAATATGGTTTTCTACACGAAATAGGATTCCTTCGCCTTTAGTTTTCCACCGCCACTTTTCGACAGTCTAGTGTACCCGAGGTGGCTTGGGTCCGGTCTGTGAAACCGGAATGTACCGTTCCATTGAGCACGTGAAGTTTCCGAAATTCCAAACCGGAATTTTTGTTGAATGGAAAGCGCCCCTGGTCGCCCAAGGCGGGACAGTTTCTCACTGTTACATGTATATTTTGGTAATTCGCAATGTTTTTGATTTTACGTCGCTTTTCAGACATAGAGTGTGGTTGTCTTTTTCTGTTAAAAAATTTCCCCCTGCAGAGTTTGGAATATGCAACATACAGCTGCGTATAGCTGATAAGAACGGCCGAAGAGTTGAGCTATAGATTAGTGGTTTGCTGCAATAAACCTTGGAAAAGTTAAGGTGACTTCAAGAGACAGAGCTTTCAGTGGTAGTTGTGATTTGTTTATTAAGGATTGTTTTAAATTTTAATTTCGAATTCAAGGTGTTGACTGATCGTAATAAACGAAGTGAAATGACTCTGAAATGTTTATACGAAGTATAACTATATGTTTATTCAGGTACGATATGTACAGCTGTAAGCTCATATTTATATGACTTTCTTAAGGTGTTTCGATACAGTTTTTCAGAAACCATACCGATATTTTTCAATCGCCTTAAAAGTGTTTTTTTCCTTGTCCGATCGCTATAAAATTTTCACTAGTAACTGGCTATGGATTGAAATTTGTGAAAATGTAGTTTTAAGTAAAATCGATATTACTATGACAACAATAAACAAAAAACTTTGAAATTGATAAAAGCCGAATTTTGTGTGATCTAGACCTGCTACTGAAAATCCAACACTAGGAACTTAAAGTTTGGTGTTTAGCAAACAATCTCCGTAAGAAGTAAAAAATTGTGTATACACTATACATACCTCCACGCCTAGTACATTTTAGTTTGAATTTTTTTTTTACTTCTTTTGAATGTAAAACATTGACAATACTCACACTGAAATGTACTAGTCATGGATATATGTATTGTCCGCATTAATTTGGAAAAATTAGCATAACGTCAAAACAGTGAATGCTGTAGCGCAGATTTTTGACCGTTTCGTAGGATAGGTTTGTCTTGAAATTTCAAGGTGTCGCAGTGAATCAATCTCAATGAAAGTTTCAGACATTATTATATACATTATGTGAAGAGATTTTTAAAAAAGAGTCGTTTCAGAGATATACAAAAAGTGCTAAAGGCCCAAATTTTGAATGTAGTTGTCCTTATACAGGTGTTGAGAAAACGGGTTAGTTTTTTAGATCGCAAGAATGAAAAAACACCAAATTTTCCTAGCATCGAAATATGATATTAAGCAGCATCCTGACGCTACTTAAGAATAATTTGGGTCATTCATAACGTTTTTTTTTTTAAATAATCTATCACGGGTATTGAAAATTTAGGTTTGAAATATATTTTCTTTTTATTCGAATTCAAACATACAGAATTTTTTACTTCTTACGGAGGTTATTTGCTAAACACCAAACTTTAAGTTCCTAGTGTTGGATTTCCAGTAGCAGGTCTAGATCGCGCAAAATTAGGCGTTTATCAATTTCAAAGTTTTTTGTTTATTGTTGTCATAGTAATATCGATTTTCCTAAAACCTACATTTTGACACATTTCAATCTATAGTCAATCATTGGTCAAACTTTTATAGCGATCAGACAAGGATGAAATCACTTTTAAAGCGACTGAAAAATACCGGTATGGCCTCTGAAAAACTATATCGAAGCACCTTAAATATGCTTACTCCCAATAAATTTGACACTTTCTCCAGTACTTTTTTTATCAGCATCATAACTTCTATAACCTTCAGATGTCCTCGCCCGGCAAAAACCATGTAACCTACAAATCGATCGAGCGTGTTGTTGTTGGTTAAGATTTAACACGGTTGCGGTTTAGTTTGCCCCGCAATTTCAGTACCAAAAGACAAATAAGATATGCAAGATAACAAAGATGCATGATATTATTTTTCAATTTTTTAGTAATTTCCTTTGCCGGTTCGCTTCTCTCTTCTGTCAAAATATTTACTGAGGGAAAAAAACTGCTATTATCGGCTGACCGCTTTTCGAGTTGTGAGAATGTGGTTTCTCGTCCCAGACCTCGTATCTCTCCCCCCCCCCCGAATGGAAAGATCATCTGTTCAACCGTCCTCAAGCTATAGAAAATTATATACTTTGTTTGCTTGTTCGAACAGATATTTTACAGAATCAGTCGTTGTGTGAAATCTGACCTATGTGAGCGCATTCGGACTAATCAATCGCAATTTAAACTGCTGCTCCCACTGCTAGTGATAATGACGTCTGTTGTGTGTCGCTAATCAAAGACATTTTTGTTGCAATTCCGGTCGTCAAGAAGTAAGAGGCTCAAAGACCATTTTAACAACTTTTATTTTTCTTTGTTCTCACCTGTTTCTTTACGTTACAACAAACACTTAGCCTGATTTTGTCTGACATAAATTTAACTTACATTTACATCTAATCCGAAACCGACCAACTTTTCGAAATGTACTGAGTACTTGAAACTTAAGGTCGTTCTATTGAAATCGTTGCGAAAACTGAAACACCAAAAGTTCAAAAGTTTTACCCTAAAATAAGTCAACACAAAAACAGAAGTTTGTGGCTACGTCGAATTAGCAATCTAAAGGTGAGAAGGGAAAAGCCAACTCTTAGCGAATTCCAATGGCGGTGGCATGAAAGCCAAACTTGCTCCATCGGTTACTGGAGGTGTAGGTTCCACAGCC